GGGTTGGAACCCACACACAGAGTTCTCACTGGGGCACTGCCTAGGGGAGCTGTGAGAAAAGAGCCACCATCCTCCAGACCCCGGAATGATAGATCCACCTACAGCTTTCACGGTGCACCTGGAAAGCTGCAGGCACTCAATAACAGCCCATGAAGGAGCTGCCCAAGGCCATGGGAGCTCGCCCCTTGCATCAGCCTGCCCTGGATGTGAGACTTGGAGTCAAAGGAGATTATTTCAGAGCTTTAAGATTTAATGTCTGCCCCATTGAATTTTGAACTTGCATGGGGCCTCTAGCCCCTTTGTGTTTGGTTTTACAGGCTCATAGGCAGAAGGAACTTGCCTTGTGTCAGATAAGACTTTGGACTTGGACTTTTGAGTTAGTGCCAAAATGAGTTAAGACTTTGGTGGACTGTTGGAAATGCACAATTGGTTTGAAACGTAAAAAAGATGTGAAATTTGGGAAGGGCCAGGGCTGGAAGGATATGGTTTGGCTCTGTGTCCCCATCCAAATCTCATCTTGAATTTTAATCCCCATAATCTCCATGTATTGAGAGAGGGACCTGGTGAAAGGTGTTTGGATCATGGGGGTGGTTTCCACCATGCTGGTCTCATGAGAGATCTGTTGGTTTTATAAGGGGCTCTTCCTCTTTATAAAGGGGCTCTGTCTCTCTTTCTCTCTCTTACTTTCTCTCTCTCTCTCTCTCCCCCTCTCCCCTGCCGCCTTGTGAAGAAAGTGCCTGCTTCCTCTTCAGCCATGATTGTAAGTTTCCTCCTCACCACCCATATAGAACTATGAGTCATTTACACCTCTTTTCTTTATAAGTTACCCAGTCTCAGGTAGTATCTTTGTAGCAGTATGAAAATGGACTAAAACAGGTATAGATAAATAGATTATGTTAAGCTACTTCCACAAAATATACAAAGTAAAACGCACCTCATATTTAATAGTGAAACATCACAGGCATTCCAACTAAAGTCAGGAAAAAGGGTAAATATGCCTTTTAACACCATTACCATTTAACACTGTTCTATAGACTCTAGGTAATGCAATAAAACAAGAAAATGAAATAAGAAAAGTAAATAGTATAAAGGATAATATATTATAATATTTATAAATGATATTTTCTCAGTAGAAAGTCTGAGAGATGTTAAGTGGATTCAGCAGAATGGCCAAATTCAAAATCCAGTAGCATTCCTACATGCCAATAGCTTCTAATTAGAAATGTAACTTCTGCTAGGTGTGGTGGCTCACGCCTATAATTGTAGCACTTTGGGAGTCCAAGGCAGGTGGATCACTTGAGGTCAGGAGTTCAAGACCAGCCTGGCCAACATTGTGAAACCCCATATCTACTAAAAGTCCAAAAATTAGCTGGGTGGCTATGGCATGCACCTGTAATCCCAACTACTCAGGAGCCTAAGGCAGGAGAATTGCTTGAGCCTGGGTGGTGGAGGCAGCAGTGAGCTGAGATTGCACCACTGCGCTCCAGTCTGGGAGACAGAGTGAAACCTGGTCTCAAAAAAAAAAAAAAAAGAATATAACTTCAAGAAGACCCTGTTCCACATAGCAACAAAGAAGTAAGCCTTAAGAAATTAGCCTTTAAAAAATGTACAAATCCTAAGTGATGAAAATATAAAATTTTACCGAAGGGTTGGGAGTTGGGGTAGAGACTTGAAAAAGGACTCCATGTTTCTGAATAAAAATGTTTGAATGAGGTCGGGCGTGGTGGCTCACACTTGTAATCCCAGCACTTTGGGAGACTGAGGCGGGTGAATCATGAGGTGAGGAGTTCCAAACCAGCCTGACCAACATGGTAAAACCCCGTCTCTACTAAAAATACAAAAAAAAATTAGCAAGGCACAGGGATGCGCGCCTGTAATCCCAGAGCTACTCAGGAGGCTGAGGCAGGAGAATCCCTTGAATCTGGGAGGTGGAGGTTGCAGTGAGCACCACTGCACTCCAGCCTGGGCAACAGAGCAAGACTCCATTTCAATGAATCTAAATATTTAATGCAGTTTCAATCCAAACCCAAAATATTTTAGTAGGCCAATTCATGCTAAAGCTCATCTAGAAGAATAAATGCAACTAAAAGCAAGGCATTTTTTGGGAAAAAAAAGAATATTGGTGTAATCCCAGCACTTTGGGAGGCCGAGGCAGGTGGATCGCGAGGTCAAGAGATCGAGACCATCCTGGTCAACGCGGTGAAACCCCGTCTCTACTAAAACTACAAAAAATTAGCTGGGCATGGTGGCGCGTGCCTGTAATCCCAGCGACTCAGGAGGCTGAGGCAGGAGAATTGCCTGAACCCAGGAGGTTGAGGTTGCGGTGAGCCGAGATCGCGCCATTGCACTCCAGCCTGGGTAACAAGAGCGAAACTCCAACTCAAAAAAAAAAAAAAAAAAAAAGAATATTGGACACACACTACCACTCATTTAAATATACTATAAAATCGTTGCAATTTTTTTTTCTTTTTTTTTGAGAGACAGGGTTTTACCATGTTGCCCAGGCTGGTCTTTTGTAATTTAGAAGTTTGGTATTGACCCAAGAGTAAATAAATTGATTGGTAGCATAGAATAGAAAGAGACTCAGTAATACGTGGGCATTGACATTATGACAAAGTTAATATTTCAGACCTGTTAGGAAAAAATGTAGTCTACAATAAACAGTACTGGGACAATTAGTTAACTATGTGGCAAAAATTAGATTAGATCTCTGTGTTAATGTCCTGACTGCTGTTACAAATTACCACAAAGTAGGTATTTTGAAACAACATAAGTTTATTCCTGTAGTTCTTGAGTCCAGAGGCTCAAAATCAAGGTACACAGTCTAAGGTATGGGCAGGACCCTCCCTCCAGAAGCTCTAGGGGAAAGCCTTCCTTACTTTTTCTAGTTTTTATAGCTGCAAGACCCCTTCCTCCAGGGCAGCATGACATCTTCAAGTCTCTCTCTGCTTGGTGTTCACATGACCTCTTCATCTTCTTTGTTAAATATTCTGCCTTCCTCTTTTAAGGACACTTGTGATGACATTGAAGGCCCACCCAGTTAATCCAGGATAATCTCCCCATCTCAAAACCCTTAATTATGATTGTAAAGTCGCTTTTGCCATGTAAAGTAACATTCATGTTTTCCAGGGATTCAAATTTAGACACATTTGGGAGCTATTATTCAGCCTACTGTGATCCCTAACTCACACAATGCCAAAAATGAATCTCAGATTGATTAAAGATAAACTACAAGAACTGATTTTTTATTACTTTTAAGTTCGGGGATACAAGTGCAGGTTTGTTACACAGGTAAACTTGTGTCTAGGGAGTTTGTTGTACAGATTATTTCATCACTCAGGTATTAAGCTTAGTAACCATTAGTTATTTAGTTCTTTTTCCTGATCCTCTTCGTCCTCTCACCCTCCATCCTCCAAAAGGTCCCAGTGTGTGTTGTTCGCCTTTATGTGTCCATGCGTTCTCAAAAAACTGATTGAATGTTAGGAAAATATTTTCCTGACTGAGGGGTCTCATGGTTGAGAAATGGAGTGAGAGAGCCTTTCAGCATAAATCTAGGCAAGAAACAATTTTAAGAATTAGTAAAACAGTATTATATAAATACCCAGTTTTACTGCCTCTCAAGATATTCATCTTATGTTTTTATTTATTTTTTATTTTCATTTTTATTTATTTATTCATTTATTTGAGACAGGGTCTCACTCCATCACTCAGGCTGGAGTGCAGTGGCATGGTCACAGCTCACCGAAGCCTCTAACTCCTGGACTCAAGTGATCCTCCCATCTCAGCCCCATGAATAGCTAGGACCACAGGCATACAATGCTATGCCTGGCTATTTTTTTTTTTTTAATTTTTGGTAGAGACAAGGTTTCACTTTGTTGGCGGGGCTGGTCTCAAATTCCCGGGTTCAAGTGAGCCTCCGACGTTAACCTCCCAAAGTACTGGGATTACAGGTGTGAGCCACCACTCCCAGACTTAACAGAATTTAAATTTAACAAGATTAGTGAAGACATGAGGTTCAAATTTCACAGATAATTTCTAGGTGTTCATTTGAATGCCTAATAAGGAATAAAGTTATTTTTAAAAAAAGCATTTAAATTAGAAATATGAAGAAAAGACTAACATGATCTCTAATGAATCCGTTTCCACTTATTGCATTCTTAAAAACATTTTTCAGCTCCAAGTGAGGTAATGTACATGCACTCACCATGGTTTCACTCAATCTGGTCCTTGTTTATACCTCTTAACTTCGTTCTAGAACCACTCTTCCTAGCTTACACACCCCTCATACTCCCGGCAGTCTGGCCTGTCTGTTCTTTGATCCACCAAGCTTGTTCTGACCTCAGAGACCTTACTGGCTGGGCTCTCTGAAGGAGCCAGCCTTTTGACGGCCTATGGGTGGGTCTTCCAAAAGGCTGTCTCCTTCAGCTTTTTTCAGGCTCTATTCTATTCAGGCTTTAGCTCAGATTTCACCTCTTCAGAGAGCTCTTCTCTGACCATCCAGTCTAATGTGGCTCTTCCATCTAGTCCCCAAACCCTGGGTTACATAATTGATTGGGACAGCTGATCTGTTTAGCTAGCCATGTATCATTCTCTGATACATATCACTCTGGAAGGTTTGCATTGCGTTACATAGGACAGTTTTCCCAGGGAGAGTGTGAAGTTTCTCTTGCCAAGTGCACATGAGTTGTGATGCCCTCCTGTTTAGAGAAACTCCTTATTATTTTGGAACATGAACAAATCTTCTCTAATTGAATATATGCAATCTTCCAATTTACTAAGCATTTGGGGATTTTCATACCTAAGGCTTTCCAAAACAGTATTTACCTATAAACTTTTGCCTTGAAAATGTCCCTATTATATTTATTTGCTTCACCATTTTATATAAATTTATATATATTATATGATATATAAATTTATATATGTATATATACTTCACTATTTTATTTATATATATATATATATATTTTTTTTTTTTTTTAGAAAGGCAGACTGCCACATGCAGCGCCTCATTTGGATGTGTCTGGAGTCTTGGAAGCTTGACTACCCTACGTTCTCCTACAAATGGACCTTGAGAGCTTGTTTGGAGGTTCTAGCAGGCGAGCGCAGATACTCATATACCCCTGACCGAAGAACGGTCCTCCTCTATCGGGGATGGTCGTCCTGTTCGACCGAGCGCGCAGCTTCGGGAGGGACGTACATGGAGCGGTGATGGAGGAAGGAGACACCTGCCTAGCCAGCCAGATCAGCCGAATCAACCCTGGCAATCAATGGGGTTGTCGCAGCCAGATCGCCCTCACATCCTTCGCTATTATATTTTATAATAAAATTATTCTGGAAAAAGGTGATGTGATCAGCCCTACATGAGATAATAATCAACATTTATTCAAAATGATTTAGGAATGTGGAGAAACTATATTACTAAATATCACAAAGGAAACATTTTAGGCCATTTATAATACCTTATTTTACTTAAGAATTGTAGGTTACCTTAATCTCAGAGGCAAAGGCTTAAGCTATACAAAATGGCCAGGTACAGTGGCTCACGACTGCAGTCCCAGCACTTTGGGAGACCGAGGTAGGTGGTTTGCTTGAGCCCAGGAGTTCAAGACCAGCTTGAGCTACATGGTGAAACCCCATGTACAATACCCAAACACAAATATTAGCCAGTGTGGTGGTGCATGCTTGCAGTCCCAGCTACCTGGGAGGCTGAGGTGGAAGGATCACCTAAGCCCAGGAGGTCAAAACTACAGAGAGCCAAGATCACACCACTGCACTCCAGCCTGGCTGACGGAGCAAGACTCTGTCTCAAAAAAAAAAAAAAGTTATACAAAATGATCTTGTTATACTTTTCCTCATATTCTTAACACATGGAATATTTTTATTCATTCGTAGGTTTTTTAAAGAAGTTTAAATGTCTAAATAATATACTCAAAGGGAAGTAGAGTTCAACCTCCACATTCAAGTCTTCCACATCCGCAGATTCAACCAAGAGCAGATCAAAAGTATTTGAAAAACATTTAAAAAAAAACAATAAAACATGATATAAATTTAAAAATATAGTAAAACAACCACTTACATAGCATTTACATTATATTAGGTATTATAAGTAATCTAGAGAGATGATATAACAGGAGGGTGTATGTTATATGCAGATATGACACCTTCTTTTTTTTTTTTTTTTTTTGAGACAGAGTTTCTATCACCCAGGCCGGAGTGCCATAGTGCAATCTCGGCTCACTGCAACCTCTGACTCCCAGGTTCAAGCTATTCTCCTGCCTCAGCCTCACAAGTAGCTGGGATTACAGGCACTTGCCACCATGCCTGGCTAATTTGGTATTTTTAGTAGAGACTGAGTTTCACCATATTGGCCGAACATGGGAGGCGGAGGTTGCAGTGAGCTGAGATTGCACCATTGCACTCCAGCCTGGGCAACAGAGCGAGACTCTGTCTCAAAAAAAAAAAAATAGAAGACTATAAAAGAGGAGATATTCCTGGCCATGGAAATGTACAATACTATAACACAAGGCAGAAATGGTGAAAATGTGTCATGGCAATTAATTTTTCAAAGATTCAGTTTTCATTTTTTTGAGTTATATGACATTTCAAAAATCATTCTCTCACATCTCACTGCGGTGGTTCAATTATTTTACTATGTGTGAGGTGCTGTTCTAAGTTTATGTTATGTAGCAACTAATTTGACACTCAAAACAACCCCGTGGGGTAGTTGCCATTGGCATCTCATTTCACAGACGAAAAAACTAAGGAACTGAACTTGAAAAATTTGTCCAAGTTTACACAGCTAAGAATTAGCAGAGGTGGTCTTTGAATCTACAGAGTTAGTCTCCAGGTTCCATACTTTTAAATATTCTGCTGTACCACCTCTTTATATATTTAATGTATCTTGGAAGTTGTACCATATCAACATGTAAAAACTTACTGTTTTTACAGCTGCAAGGTATTCCATTGTATGGCAATATTATAATTCATTAAAATATCTCCCAATGACAAATCTTTTCCTTCTTTCTTTCTTTCTTTCTTTTTTTTTTTTTCATTCTCTTTCTTTCTTTTCTTCTCTTTTTGAGACAGGGTCTTGCTGTGTTGCCCAGCCTGGAGTGCGGCGGCATGATCATGGCTCACTAAAGCCTTGACTTCCCAGGCTTAAGTGATCTTCCCACTTCTGCAACCCCACAGGGACGCTGGGACACTTGCCACTGCATCCAGCTAAGTTTTATATTTTTCATAGAGACAGGGTTTTGCCATGTTGCTCAGGCTGGTCTTGATTCCTGGGTTCAAGAGATCCTCCTACCTCGGCCTCCCAAAGTGCTGGAATTACAGGTGTGAGCCACCTTGCACGCCCCTTTCATTTGTTTCCAACCTTTTGCTATTGCTAATAATTATGCTTCTGTTACAGGAAAGGGGTCCCAATTCAGACTCGGAGAAAGGGTTCTTGGTTCTTGCACAAGAAAGAATTCAGGGTGAGTCCCCAAAGCAAAGTGAAAGCAAGTTTATTAAGAAAGTGAAGGAATAAAAGAATGGCTACTCCACAGACAAGGCAGCCCCAAGGGCTGCTGGTTGCCCATTTTTATGATTATTTCTTGATTATATGCTAAACAAGAGGTGGATTATTTATGCCTCCCCTTTATTAGGCCATATAAGTAACTTCCTGACGTTGCCATGGCATTTGTAAACTGTCATGGCACTGGTGGGAATACAGCTGTGAGGATGACCAGAGGTCAATCTCGTTGCCATTTTGGTTTCTTTTTATTTTTATTTTTTTAGAGAAATTCTCGCTCTTGTCTTCCAGGCTGGAGTGCAGTGGCATGATCTCCGTCTCCCGGTTCAAGCCATTTTCCTGCCTCAGCCTCCTGAGTAGGTGGGATTATTGACACCCACCACCACGCCTGGCTAATTTTTGTATTTTTGGTAGAGATGGGGTTTCACCATGTTGTTCAGGCTGGTCTTGAACTCCTGATCTCGTAATCTGCCTGCCTTGGCCTTCCAAAGTGCTAGGATTACAGGCATGAGCCACCAAGCTGGTCGTGGGTCATATTTCGCTTCTTTACTGCAACCTGTTTTATCTGCAAGTTTTTATGACCTGTGTCTTCTGCTGACCTCTTATCTTAACCTATGACTAAGAATGCCTTAGCCTCCTAAGAATGAAGCCCAGTAGATCTCAGCCTCATTTTACCCAGCCCCTCTTCAAGATGGGAGTTGCTCTGGTTCAAAAGCCTCTGACACTTCCTTAATGACTATGTATTTTGTAGACTATTGCTACCTATGATTCACTGAGAGACAAGTCCATGATCATTGCAGAAGCCTAAATTAGTGGTACCACACCACTTATTTCATTACTTCTTGGATACAATGTAGATTTACTGAGTGCAATGAGAAGGGAGAAAACAAATTGAATAAAGTGATACAAGAAATTGCATATTTGGCTGGGCGTGGTGGTTCACACCGGTAATCCCAGCACTTTGGGAGGTTGAGGCAGGTGGATCACCTGAGGTCAGGAGTTCAAGACCAGCCTGCCTTGATGGAGGCAAAACTCCATCTCTACTAAAAATACAAAAAATTAGCCAGATGTGGTGGCAGGTGCCTGTAATTTCAGTTGCTCGGGAGGCTGAGGCAGGAGAATCACTTGAACCCGGGAGGTGGAGGTTGCAGTGAGCCGATATCACACGACTGCACTCCAGCCTGGGCGACGAGACGGAAATGCCGTCTAAAAAAAAAAAAAAAATTGCATCTTATGGGACAAGATGAAGTTCTTGCAGGTCTTACAGCATGGACCACAACAGGTTATGGCCACAGTAGTCTCTGCAACTCTCCACAGATTTTCTTCAGGGCAAATGTGAAAGTTGGTATGTTATAAGAAAGGAAAAGAAATCTTGGGACCCCAAAATCACTAAGCTATGAGGAAAGTCAAGCTGGGAACTGCTTGGGCAAACCTGCCTCCCATTCTGTTCAAAGTCATCTTTCTGCTCATTGAAATAAATGCACATTTGATTGCCTCCTTTGGAAAGGCTAATCAGAAACTCAGAAGAATGCAATTGTTTGTCCCCTGTCTACCTTGCCACTTCCAGTTGTCCCACCTTTCCAGACTGAACCAATGTTCATCTTACATGTATTGATTGATGGCTCATGTCTCCCTAAAATGTATAAAACCAAGCTGTGCTCGGACCCCCTTGGGCACATGCCATCAGGACCTCCAGAGGTTGTCACGGGTGCACATCCTTAACTTGGCAAGATAAACCTCCTAAACTGACTGAGACCTATCTTAGATTTTGGGGGTTCACAATAGGGAAAGACAAATATGGAAACAAATATTATGAAGGCAACAAGCAGCTTTTTGTATATACTACTGAAATAAGTTGCAAAAATCCACATTATGGGATGTGGATGGAAACATGGAGCCCCTCAAATGCTATCACTGGCTGCATTCACAGATGACCCTCCAGCAGCAGCGCTAACTACTGTTCATAAATTCACTTGGACAAATCATAAATTCAGCGTGAGTGACACTCATGAACAACATGTACCCCATTCCACCACTAAAAGAAGATTCAAAAGTGGGTCCCACCTTCAACAGCATACAAAACAATGAAAAACAGTTTAAATATGCAAAATGTAGAGCTTTTCATGTAATTTCACTTTTTAACATTCGCTTGATTAATATTGTTTAACTAAATTATGTAAAAGGGAGTAACATTTGAGCTAGACCTTAAAATATGGAGAAGTAAATTCAAACAGGTAAATGAGGTAGATAGATTTCATAGTAATAAAACAACCAGAGGCATAGTTCACAGACATTAGGATATTAGAGTGATCCTGTATTTTAAGTGCATGTACAGGTCTAAAGGCTTAACATTGAAGAATATTGTTTTTGAGGTTAATAGTTAAAAGAAATAATAAAGCAGGTCCTACAAGAATTAGAAATAAATCTTCATGGTACCATAAAAAATGTCCTAAACCACTGACGTAGCACACTAATGTATTCAAATGTGCCCATGCAGCTGGAGCAGATGCTGCCACAACAGTTGGTATAATCGCAGATGGAATGATTATAATGGAAGTATAAAAGCAAAAGGGGATAAAGCAAAACTGAATGGCCTTAAATTAGGTGGTAAATCATTCCATTTAAGTCTTGTAGTTCAGAATTCAAACCAAGGGCCCCCGTTTTAGAAAACGGATGGGAAATTTAGTAGAAGTCATTCAGAAGGCACTGAAAAAGAACACTGCTTTTACAATGGAAAAATATGTCAAATCACCTTAAAGTTCAATGGTAGCAGAACACTTAAGGAAATCATAGCACTGCAACTGGAGGAAACCAGTCATTAAATATTGTAAGCAGATGACATGGACATCTGGTATTTTTGTCTGTCTAGCATCCTTTCTTCCCTTTCCAGTGACAGCACCCCTTTGTCTATTGTGGAACTGTGTCTCCTTTACCTTAATCATTTAATTTCTAGGGTACTTTCCTCTGTCAAAGGCGTAGGCAAGTTACCCAGGCCTAACCACTCGTAATAATCTGTCTGCACAGCCACAGTGATTAGGCAAGTGGTAGTCACATGACTCAAGTTGGGCTAATCAGAACATTTTCCTGGGAAGTTGCTAGAAGAAAGCCTCTATTTCATTTGGGTTGGTAAACTGTGGTATTATAAGGCTGAAACTCTGTGCAGCTATATCTCAGCTTGTCTGCAGTTCAAGAAATGAAGCCAACATAGCGGAAAGCAGATCTGAGAGAATGAGAGAAAATTCTGGTGGTATCATCTGACTTCCTAGACCTATTCATCTCAGAGCAGTACACCCTCGACTTTAGAGTTAAGAAGGTCAATACATCCTTTCTCCTACACCCTTTTTTTTTTTTTTTTTTTTGCTAAGTTAGGGTTTGAAGCATTCTTTTTACTTACAGCAAAAAAAAGAACAAAAGGCCTGTAATCTCAGCACTTTGGGAGGCCAAGGTGGGCAGATCAGGAGCTATTGAGGTCAGGAGCTCAAGACCAGCCTGGCCAACATGGTGAAACCCCATCTCCTCTAAAAATACAAAAAGTAGCCAGTTGTGGTGGAGTGGGCCTATAGTCCCAGCTACTCGGGAGGCTGAGGTAGGAGAATCCCTTAAACCCGGGAGGCAGATGTTGCAGTGACCTGAGATCGTGCCACTGCACTCCAGCCTGGGTGACACAATGAGACTCTGTCCCAGGAAGAAAAAAGAAAGAAAGAAAGAAAGAAAGAGAAAGAGAGAGAGAGAGAGAAAGGAAGGAAGGAAGAAAGGAGGGAGGAAGGGAGGGAGGGAGGGAAGGAAAGAGAAAGAAAAGAAATTGTATCTAGGCTGTTACTGCAAGTCCAGTAAAATTTTATTGTTTGTTTGTTTGTTTTCACGGGGGTTTTTTGTCCTTAAATAGCATGGGTTCATGACTCAGGATAACTTTATTTTGGCCCTGGTCAGGTCTCCCAAAGGGTTTCCCAGCAGTCATATCACAGAGTCTCCTGCTGAGTCACCACGAAGCAGACCTCTTCCTTAAGAGGCCTTGCTACTACTTGACTTCTTCTGGTACCACCATCTTCTGTCGTCTGAATGACATAAAATTTGAATTCATATTGACTACTTGCATCTAATGGGTAGGATGCAGTGATGCTGCTAAACACCTTACAATGCACAGGACAGCCCCCAAGAAAAAAGAATTATCTAGCCCAAATGTCAATAATGCCACTATTGACAAACCTTGACAGAAGGGTAATGGGGTGATTTGTTTTCATTAAAAAAGGTCTGCTGTTGACTGGGCATGGTGGTACACGCCTGTAGTCCTACCTGCTCAGGACTAGGCATGAGAATTGTTTGAGCCCAGGAGTTCGAGGCTGTAGTGAGCTGCGGTTGTACCACCGCAATTCAGCCTGGGTGATAGAAAGAGACCGAGACTGTGTCTTAAATAAATAAATACATAAATAAAAGATCTGTAATTTGCTCATTTGCTCATTAGAAGGAAAGAAGGAAAGGAAGTGAAGGAAGAAATGGAAAAGAAAGAAAATAAAGGGAAAGAAGTCTATGGAAGTGAAGATGATGTAAGAATCAGAGACATAAAGATAATTGGAAGTGAAGATACCTTATTTCTAATCCCATCTCTACAACTGACTGCCAGTGTGACCTTGAAAAGCCACAGGATTCTTTGAGAATTGGTTTCCTCACTGGTAATATAGGGAATGTAGTTAGTTAGCCTGCTTCTGAGGTTCCTTCAGTTCAAAAATTCTATGACATTATCTTTTTTTTTTGAGACGGAGTTTCGCTCTGTTACCCAGGCTGGAGTGCAATGGCGCGATCTCGGCTCACCGCAACCTCCGCCTCCTGGGTTCAGGCAATTCTCCTGCCCCAGCCTCCTGAGTCGTTGGGATTACAGGCACGCACCACCATGCCCAGCTAATTTTTTGTAGTTTTAGTAGAGACGGGGTTTCACCATGTTGACCAGGATGGTCTCGATCTCTTGACCTCGTGATCCAACCGCCTCGGCCTCCCAAAGTGCTGGGATTACAGGCTTGAGCCACCGCGCCCGGCCTGACATTATCTTGAATAGTAAAGCAGATTTAGGAAAAAAATGAGTTTTAATGAAGTATGTGCTCTTAGCTATTTTTTAAAGATTATTATTATTATTATTATACTTCAAGTTGTGGGATGCATCTCCAGAAACTGTGCAGGTTTGTTACATAGGAATACACGTGTCATGGTGGTTTGCTGTATTCATCAGCCTGTTATCTACATTAGGTATTTCTCCTAATGCTATTCCTCCCCTAGCTCCCCACACCCTGACAAGCCCCAGTGTGTGATGTTCCCCTCCCTGTGTCCACGTGTTCTCATCGTTCAGCTCCCACTTATGAGTGAGAACATGCAGTGTTTGGTTTTCTGTTCCTGTGTTAGTTTGCTGAGAATGATGGTTTCCAGCTTCAT